AATCAGTGTACCTTGGCGTTCGCACGGGGGAGTGAAATTACATTTCGACTGACGCTTCAGCCGCGACGACGCGAGCGCCGGATGAAACAATCCATGAAATCTCTTTCATGGATACACTTCCCCGGCGCGGGCGGTCTTTATCATTAATCCCCAATGTTCTCGCGATTAATAATTCATGAGAGTGAAGAAACGCACTGATTAAATCGGTATGTCTTTAGACCTCGGCCCGGGTAAATGCGCCCGCGCCTCACCGCGCGTACTCCAGCGCGATGAGATATCGAAACGGCACTGGCGCAATTTAGGCACTAATTAACGCCGTTAGCGCGATTAACTCTGAGCGCAACGCTCTATGCCCTTTACGGCAAAGGACTGACGCCGCCGCCGCCGCCGCTCTGGGCTTTAAGGCTGAGCTGCATCCCATGCTCTAATACGCAATTAACCGTTACCAACGAAGGGAAAAAATAATACTCGCGCGGAAATGGGAGGGAAGAGAACACGGAACGTTATAAAGCGATCCGATTTAAGCCCCGATAATCCCGACGCGGTGACAAAACAAGATACCTTCTCGGGAAATCCTTTGATATGCACGCTCGATCTGTCTATAAATGAAATTCGCTGAAAATCCCATATTAGAGAGTGTTGTGTTGTAAAGTAAAAACAGTTCGCGGTAATCGCGGTGTGTCTTGCGGAACAGAAAGGCAGAAAGCGGGAAATACAGAGAGATACACGGAACACACACACACACACACGTCGGGCCACCATTTCCACGAGTGCGTTATCAGGGAGATTGCGGTAATACAAATTCCCCGGATCAAAGGGGGAACAAATGAGATCGAAGAGATTCCATTCGGTCTCTAATGGAGCTTGTACATGAAACACTTATGAGCTATTCGCAGTCGTTTGACCCAACAACAATATTCATCGACCCGGCCAAGATTCCCGCGGAGTTTCTTCCGAGCACTTCTTCCCAAGCTCTTCTTCCCAAGCCTGCCCACGACTCGATTCTTTCTACCTAACTCTCTCTCTCTCTCTCTCTCTCTCTCTCTCTCTCTCTCTCTCTCTCTCTCTCTCTCTCTCTCTCTCTCTCTATTTCCTCCCTCACATATTTCCCGCCCCTGTTACTTATTGGTGTTATAAAACGCCGCGCGTCACTACGAAATGCCGTGTAAATCGACTGGCGGCGCGGCGTCAGAAATTCGGCTTCCGCTACGAACACGCTTCCGAAATACTCGGCCGAATTGCGAGCCACTCCTCCGTTTTCCCGGATAAAGTGAAACTTCGTTTATTCGAGCCATTCCCGATACGGCGCCGGCTCCGATACCTGGGGAACCACCGCAAAGTAGAACGTTCGATAATATCCCTTGGAAATTGACCGGCGCGGATATGAGATAGTTATATAGAGAGAAGATATATTTTCGAATAACCCGATAAAAGTGCCGGCGAACGAGACCGGGCAATAAAACTTCTTATAGAACGACCAAGAAGAAAAAAAAAAGAAGAAACAAATACAGCTCGTGTAAGCTTCGCAAAGTTCTCCCTTTAATATAGAGAAACATACAAAAATGATAACGGTAACTGTTTGCGACGGCATACGGTGGATGGAGGACAGGAGGTACACACATGCGCGTGTCAGCTTTTCCGGAATAAATTCTCCGCAGGAACGAAGAAAAGTAAAATAGAGAAAAGCGTATCGCCGAAAAAAAGCCTACTACTTAAAATACGTCACTTTTATTCGCACGAAAACATTCAATCGCTGCTCCTATCGTAGCGAGTCGCACCATTTTCCCCGCGCGGGAAGGACGGGGCGCGTGTAAATATTCCTCTCAGCCGATTTAGACACAACAACCAGTTCTAATCTGCAGCTGGAAAAATTGCTCCGGTCTTGCTTGGGTTGGCATCGTCGGTAAGAAGTAGTAGTTACATGTGTCTGCATAAACCGCCGTGTGTGGTTTCTTTCGGATATATTTATCCTCGCGGCTGCATTCAAGGATACCGAGCATGATATTACGCGCATGAGAAATGGGTCGCGTGTCACTTACACGAGTAAGATCCCGCAGATAGATCCTGCGAAAAAAATGATAAAAATCGCCGAACGACGCGATACATCATCGGCTGATATCAGAGCTCGATGATCGATAGTTACATTGTGAACGGCGACGCGGAGAGCATAGAGGATAACGCAAAGATGACAGAGAAATCAATAAGCGATTTATCACGTCGATAGAAATTTTTTATCAATAAATACCTACAATTAGACGTATATGTTCGTCGCTTGTAATCCGTAAAACCTGCAATTTGTCACTTGTCACTCTTTGCATGTATATTTTTCATGTGTGTTCAGACTGATATTATCAGATGGAGATGTATGGTGCTTATGTAATAGAAAATTCTGCCCTCTCTCCTTCAATTTATTATCATACGAATTTTACGAACGATGTAACCCTATAAAACCACCGTGTGTATGTGCGTGTGTGCGGTGTACTTGAAAAAGAGATTATTAGCTTACTTACCTGCCGTTTACAGCAGAAACGCACTTACAGCTTGAAAAATACACTCGATACACTTTATAGTAAATTGTGGCAAAAGAAGAATGACGCGGTGAATTTCCTCTGTTGAGGAAAAATCGATGGTAAAATTCGAACACGGTGTGTTCGTGTTTATCGCGATAGACCCGAGTGCAACGAAATAATTTTCCTTTTTCCATTTGACAGGCGAGATATATGCATCCCTAGTTGACTGAGAGAATTGATTTCTGCGTAAAATAATACCTCAATGAAAAAGTTTAACCTGCGCATGTTCTCGCATTTCTGCATACACACTCTATCTCCGCGGGGCGTCGCGTATACGACGATCAAATGTGCGTATAAATAACAGCGTATTTTTATCCTTTTCTCGCTCAAAAAGTGCAGCGATATATGCACGGTGCACTGCAATATGTGACACGTGAAGATAATTATTACGGCTTCGTCGAGCCGTACATTTTCGCGATAATTCGCGCAGATATACCATCCTTCCTTTAGCATTCACTTTACCCACCACGTAACAATCAACAAACTCGTATCATAATCTTACCTGCCTGCAAAACAAGGCACGATAGCGTGCATTAAAATCCGCGTAAAGTCGCGATAAAAGAGCCGAAATCGTGTTTTCCATCGGAGATTTTCCACATTATCGTTTCGAGTGATACTTGATTTTATAATTAGGTCAATTACTAGATCGCGCGACCTACTACAGCGCAAAGATCGCGATAAATTCGTTTATGAACGCGTAATATATAAATTGCAGCGCAAAATGAGATTCTCGTTAATATATGCGACACGTTGCACACTTGCGTCAGCGATTTTCGCGCGAGATGCGATTCGAATGCCACATCAAAGTACATTAAAATTCATAACAACGTGATGATATTAATAATTTATAACGTTAATACTTCATATTATAATGTGATAATTAGATAATTAATTCTTTGACTCATCAGAGACTGCCGAGAACGAGAATTTTCCCTATGCGGTCTATGTGAATATCCAATCAATATCTGTGAAGCTATACGCCGATTTTGCATACTATTAATTAGCTGCGTTAATTACAACGCGCTGTAACATCACGGTCGAGCGATAGCTCGACCATTACCGCCACCTCTTGGGCGACATTGCAATCAATAGCTTCTGTACCCGGTATTGATAAAACATAAAAATTTATACTTTTGCGGATTAAAAAGTAAATACAGACGAAATAAAAGTATTTTTTGTGCCGATGTTTACAATTCTAAAGAATGCGACACGAGTGGTCGCGAAAAGATATAAAAAACCGAGAGGAAAAAAATGAAGATTGATTGTAATGATGTATATTCGGTAATCCCATTCGGTAAAACTTGCGGGATTGTTATCTCCTAAACAAAAATATTTTGAACTAAATTTGTGTGACACAGTTGTGTATGTAACTGCTCAATTGGTAAAACAGTTTCCTACACATCCGCGCACATTCACGCAAACACACACAAGCAGATATACACAGCGAGAGAAATATCTGAGTCAGGGTAGCGGAGAGTAAGTACTTGCGCTTAATTAAAGTAAATTAGAGGTCATCGAGGGACAAGTAAGCGCGGACTCGTTGACACCCGGTATAGCATGAACCAATCTGCTGGCGCCAATGCGATGGCCCAGATTTCGTGCAGCAGCGTCAACCGATTCGTTTTTCACGTCCCACTTTTTGTCGGCGGCGATCGCGAGCGAAGTAATTCAGCTATATCCGTACCGATCTCTAGAAGAAATGAAGGAAAAAAAAAAGAGAAAAAAAAAGAAACAAATAAAAAGAAGAACAACGCATTCGTTTTAACGCGTCGTCAAGCGCGTTAAAGTCTCTACGTGGTGGAACGGAGTTGTGCAAATTATTCGCGTCGCTCTCGTATTCGCACAATCCGCACAAAGCTAGCGATATTATTAATATTTTACGCTAATTGTTCCAAACAGAAAATAGTCACGTTGAATATGATCACGAGATAAACATTGCTGCTGATAATTGGATATTTTTAACTGACTCGCGTTGTAATATTAATCGAGGCGGCGATAAATATTCTATAAATGCGATACGCTCGTTATACGAATAAAGAACGATCGGCTATATATATTCCTCACTGCCGCGCATTTATCGGACTTATCTGCTTTCCATTTATTTCAAGGTACATTCTGTATATCCGTACTTTAAATTGCAAATTGTGTTTTTCTGTAAGATAACCGTAATGCCGCGTCAATGACGAAGTTGTTTAACGTGCGCACGTTAATGCCCTAAAGCCGCAGAGTCACGTACAGCATTGTTCCCATAAATATTAATTAACGCTGATTATACTGTGTAACCGAGATTTTCTAGCTCCTTCAAAGAACGCGAGTAGAAAGGGACGAAGGATTACTCGTTCGCTCCGGTCTCCCATTGACGTTTGTTGACACACTAGATCTGCGGCGTACTAATCTACAAAAGCAACCGACGCATGCACAGTCACTTACCTCCGCGACAGGGACGAAGGCACTAGGTCCGTCGAAGGCCGGCACCGGTACTGGAAGTCCTCTATCCTGAAAAGAAAAAAGAAAAGGAATCAGTATCATTTTTATGTTGGAGGTCCGAGACCTCCAGCGTCGAGAACTGTTGTAATTTAGGCAGATCTACCAACAGCCCGGCTAGCTCAGTCGGTAGAGCATGAGACTCTTAATCTCAGGGTCGTGGGTTCGAGCCCCACGTTGGGCGAGTGAATTTTTTTCCTGCACAGCGAGAGAGAGAGAGAGAGAGAGAGAGATATATTTATCGCGACGCTTTCATGCTGTGTTTTTAAATAAAATAGAAAGAGAAACGAGAAAAAGCAAAAAGAAAAAATAGCGTTTGAACGCGCGTTCGAGTTACGACACAATTCGCAAACACTTGTGTACGAAAACATCGCGATCTATATATTGTTTATGTTTACGAAATATCCCTCCTTTTTCGTTTGAGCGTTCGATTGTACTGTACTGTACGCCAGCAAGAGAGAAGAGAGAATTAGAGATATTTTGCAAATTGCACGCCACTATCGGTGTCGAGAATACGACGATACATTTTACGTGTAAAGAGTCTCCTTCCTGGCTTCCCGCCGGCTTCGTGCCTGAAAACCGTTCTATACTATGTACAAGCTTTACACACAAGTCGTATCGATCGGCCTCGAGTGTGACAATATCGGTGAGCATAACCGTCGCCGAAACGATGGATTCTATTCACATTTACTACGAGCACGACGCGCGCGCGCGCGCATGCCTGATGTACATTTTTTCCACTGAGCCGTCTATTAATAATACGGTCGAAATATCCATCAGGTTTTTAAATTCGCATGCAATCAATCCCATCCATACGTTCATCCGTTTCGCTCTTTTCGCCAAATGTAGCTTATGCATTCGTGAAATTGATTAATCTCGCGCGTACGCGGTTCTATCGGAATTAAATCGGAATAAAGACAGAATATTCGTCGTTCTTTCGATTCAAATTCACAATGCCACAATTCCGGTGACAGCGAATGACAGCGAAATCGCAGTGACATGAAAATGACAGTTTTCAATATCGGCATCGCAAAGCGGAGGAAATGTATGGTAATGTCTCTTTGATCCCGCCAACTCAAAGATAGCCGATTATTTTTACGGTCTACTTTCATCCTGCCGGAGACGAACGAGAGATCTGAGTGTATTACTTTGAGCCGCTGTTCTGGCGAGCGTGAAGACCGAGAAAAAGAGTGACGTTACAATAATACGGAGCTGCCGGCCGGAAACATTTTTTACCCTTCGATTTTACAGCGTTTCGATCGCCTCTCTATTTTCGTTTCGCCCACTTGGACACTTATGATGCATTTACAGCGTCGTTTCTGACACTTTTCTAGCGTGACGCGAGATTATCTATCTCGTCGTCTCGGGTATTTCTCTTGCCCCTCTCCCCCTCCCCTCTTCCCTATCTCTCTCTCTCTCTTCTCTTTGTCAGCGAACAACGCTGGCCGATTAGTTCGATTTGCCGTGGTCTTTCGGAAAGATTAACTAGCCCCGTAATAAGATTAATGACCGTCGTGGAATTCAGCGGGAACAACTTCGCGATCGGTCGGTCGCCTTAAGCGCCGCGACGACTACTACTGGCTGACGGGATATTTTTAGGCCGCAGTTCAAACGCGTCCTCAAAATAGCCAGTCAAAACAACTCCATTAATATAACCGACGATTACCACTATGCCGTTTATCTTTTATGCATAAGCACACCTTCCTTCGGGCCGGGCCGGGCCGTTCCCACGTACTCCCGTTTCAGTAGTTACGAGTTAAAACGCCCGCGCCGCGGAAGATATCATTCGGCCGGTGATTAATGACCGTGCTCTCTCTCTCTCTCTTTCTCTCTCTCTCTCTCTCTCTCTCTCTCTCTTCCTCTCAAAGTAGCTCGTCGTTCGCGCGGAACTTTTCAAGACAGATTCCAAAATTAATTATGGCAATGCGGAGGAACGAATTATGAAGAAACGGGGATATCTTCCTCCCCGGAGGAAGAAATCTCTCGTCGTTGAGGAGAGGTTAATCAGCAGCCACTACCCTCCGCCGCTCGAGAGATGCACGAATAGCTGCCGCGGGACTTTGTAACGCGAGTTTCGCGGTGCTTTATTTATTAGAACAGCTACGACGCGGTGCATTAAGAGCGAGAGGATACAAAGTCACAGCGCCGTAAGAGTCGCGCCCGGCAGTTAGTCTTCGCGAAGGACTCGGATAAATTGCCGCAAAGCTCGAAAGATAAAGCTTGAAATATTCTGGACAATCTCAATTCCACCGCGGAATGTACAGCGTATCTCGGAATTATTGCACTTCCTCCCGAGGCACCAGATACTTACTGCCTGAGGAAAATTGCGATTGCTCCGGCGAAACCGCGGCATCTTGCACGGTTACACAGCCAGACAGCCAGAGTTCCCCTCGCGGTTAGCCCGCTTCTCTCTCTCTCTCTCTCTCTCCCTCTCTCTCTCTCTCTCTCTCGTGGAAACTCAGCGAACATTAACATGCGACCAAGTTGCGCGCGGAGCTAATCGAATGTTGAGCGAAAATAAGCAATGCAATCTGGCCGTTCGTAATCGTAAATCTCGGATTAACTTCGTCAATGCGCGGCGGTCGCTTCCCGAGCTTCCTCGCTGCAGCAGCGACCGCCGCTTCGACGACCGCTCGTTGTAGAAATTGCAAAAGTGCTTTCAGGTCAATAGGTGATTTGCCTCCAGCACAGCTGGAAGCAGGTGCGACAAGTTCTGGCAGATCTTGTATATGTGTCGAGGCTCACGCTCCTTTGTGCTTGCCGACTGTATGTAACGCGCGCCACGGCAATGCGCGCTTCGGCTGCGTCTGGCGTCGTCGTGTGATAAACTATGAGAAGCACGCGGATACACGAGAGAGAGAGAGAGAGAGAGAAACCCCCCCCTCTCTGTCTCTCTCTCGCCGGTCTCGCGTGCAAACCTCCGCGCACGGGGACGACGCGAAAGAATTTCGGCCGAGAGTGCTCGAGAGCGCAAAGCTCGCGGGCGTGTTAACGGACGTCTGGCGAACGTTCCCTCGCGACTTCGCGAGTGAAACTTTGCGCCGCGCGGCCGCCGCGCATCTAGGCTATCCGTTATCTCACATCGGTCGTTTCGCGAGGATCTCTTTCCGCCGTCGCCGTCATGTCGGAGAATGTCCCGTGTGTTCTGACTCAAGTCACACAGAACGATATTTAATTTCTCCCGAAGCCCGCGCACAGATAATCACGGACGATACCACGGTGACGATGAGTGTGACTTTGATTTGCGAGTTCCTCTCTCTCAAGTCCAAGCCTCTTGTCGCGTTTATACGGCAAACTGACGGGACCTGCACGGCGCAAAAACGAGATTCGCGTTTCGCGCGAGCGACTAGATCGACTGACCGGTTAATTTCGCAATTAAGGTTCCTGGATACTCGCCGCAGCTATCTTGGAAGGAACTGCTTGAAAATTTCTGCAAAGCGCGTCGAGACAAGGAAATATAGCCAAAACGCGACATTTGCAATCGATTAAGCATACATCTAGAAAATATCCCGAACACTTTCCTCTTATTCTAACAATCAATAAATCACCGCACAATTAATCATGACGGAATCATGGAAACAGACAAGTTGAAAAGGTGAGTTGCGTGTCACGCTAATTTGTCGATTGTTACGACAGCGAAAGGAAAGTGTTTGGAGTATTTTACAAGAGTGTGCTTAATTGATTGCAAATGTTATTTCTTGGATTCTTCATTGTTTCATTTTAATGCACTTTACAGAATTTGTGAGCGTACGTTTTCTTGCTTCTAACGTCATCAATCAAGATGGCTGCGGCCAGGAGCCGTAATGTACGATAATTCCATTAGAATATGAGACAAGTTGATTGCAGCAATCAGAAATTAATAATGCTTGACTTGGTTTCCGGATTGGAACGACGTCCATCGTGTTTGTTTCCATCGCATTTGTTTCCTGATCAAACCAGAAACCAATTCAAGTGTTTCGCTGCACCGCGAAAGTCTAAAATATCGAAAACTGATAGTACTTGCCACGAAATCGGAAGAATGAGTGCGACCAATAAAAAATAACGAAGAAGCGCTCATCGAAATGTTTTCCAAGTCGGAAAGAACGAAGCAAATTGTTCGAAGCAAAAAGAAACTGTTACGTAAAACCAAATGATGAGCCCAAATCGTTAATGTAAGTGATAAACTGGCACGAACGGGGCATTTATTCAGCATTTCAATGAAGAGCAAATCAAAGAGTTTTCGCTTACCTTTACCATCTCGAGGATCTCCGCGCACTTGATTCTAACGTTTTGGAAGGGACAGTTGACGCTGAGCCTGAGAATCACCGGCAAGTGCAGCGTCACTAAACTGAGGTACTTGTTGGGCTGCGCCTGTCTGGGTCCGTCCAAGGCGTTCCCCAGGTTCAGCATTCTGCCGACGTCGCCAGGCGTGACCTCCGGGCTCTCGAGCACCCTGCCGCTCTTGGAGGACACGTCGTCGTCCTGCGAAAGCGGCCTCTTGATCTGCCCAGCGCTGAATTTTCGTTCGTCGTTCTTACGTAGATAGTCCTGCTCGGATCGCGGCCGGCACGCGCGGGAATCATCCGCCGTCGTCGCCGACGACGTGTCGTCATCGCCACGCGCGTAGATCGCCTCGCGCTCGTCCTCCAGGCTTACATCCAGATTCATGCGCGCAGGATCTTGCGCGTTATCCTGGCGGTAATGCTCGCTCGCGCTCTCGTTCTCAAAGCCGTCCAGTGTGTTGAAGACGACTCCGTCGCTGCGACGCGCGCTCGCCACCTCGCTCTCGTTGAAGGACACGTCGTCATCGGCGCCGCCGTCGTAGTATCGGCGCTCGTGCGTCAACATGTCGCCGCCAGCGATCTTAGATCGGCGATTCAGGTTCCGACAGTCAAACGCGGAGGCGGCCTCGCCCCGCGGGTGGCCAAAGCCGCTTAGGTTGTCGTCGAACTTGGGACTCTTGCCGTACACCCTCGTATCAGCGTCGAGCTCGTCGTCCTCCAGCTGCTTCTGCTTGGCGCCCTTCACCTTCGCGTAGTTGCTCTTCGTCCTGCCGGGGCAGCAATCATCGCTCGACCGCTCGCTCGACGACGAGCCCGGGTGGTACTTGCGCTCGCTCTCGCAGCTCGAGCCGAAGCGCGGCTCGGAGCCGTCCTTGAATCGCAGGCACCTGCCTTGCTGCTGCTGTTGCGTCGGCTGCTCGATCTTGAAGCCCTTGCTACCCTCGTCCGAGGATGTCGAGTGACCGGACCTGCAGCTGTCAACGCCATCGCCGGTGTACTTCCGCCTATCGTTGCCGAGACGACCGTCCACGCAGTCGAATGAATCGGCCGGGTACCGTTCCGAGCACTCCGGGTTGTTCTCGTCGAGGAAAGTCGAGCCGTCGTTCACACTCTGCGGGAAGAAACCCTCCGTTCGGAATGAGTCCTGCAGCAGTAGCTGGTGCTGGACGCTCCTCGGGGACGATCTCGTGGGCGAGCGCTCGACGCTCATGTCGTATCTTCGCCCAAATATGAATCGGTTAGAGAACGCGACCACGGGCACATGTGTGCCTGGCTTCCAAATTTTCGTAAGACTGCGGGAGGAGGGTCAATGTAAGTCTGTTTCTCTGCCTCTAATTTGAATATTACACTGCCTTGGTAACTCAGACTCTGAGTTTTCTTGGACGAAAGCAATTTTCTTTTAGTCATAAAGTGATTCTTTATAGCCAGAAGGTATATTCATTGTATCTCTTACTCATATCAGATAATCCGGAAATTTCATAATTTCTTTTTTAGACCAAAAGCTTCACTTGTCGTATTTTAAAAAAGGGATAAAAATTATCAAGATGCACGATATCAGAACATCAGGATTATGATACGTGATATGTACTATTTGCTTAACCCTTTCGTACCTGACTGTTTTTAGGAATGATGTGCATCTAATTCACGTCTTATTAAAGGTTTTTGGGGTCGCTGATTATGAATCCGTAATCAAAATTTCAAAATTCAAAATAGCAAATCCAACATGGTAAACTAAAATGTAAAATTTTCTTGGATTTGAATAAAATTCATATTCCAGAGATTTTTGGGGTGATTATGAATCTGTAGTCAAAATTTCAAAATTAAAAATGACGAATTCAATATGCACAGCGTGTAAAGTTCCACTCTGTCCCATTCCGTGCTTCAAAAAATTCCATGAAATGTGAATAAAATTGAGTCGACCTTTCTTATTTACATTTTGTCAGCTATATTAGATATGACTATATTTAATTTGAAAATTTCAACTTTAGATTCGTTATCAGTGACACAAAAAAACCCCTGAAAAATGAGTTTCTCTCAAATTCAAAAAAATTCACATTGTGGCCCGCCATATTGAATCCGTCATTTTGAAATTAAGTAGCAATTTTCTTTCATATAGCTCTTACGCTGCTAACCTTCAAAATGAGCCCAGGAAGAACTTGCTATCTTAATTTTTGTGGAATATATATACATATTTTTCACTTTTACTCTATTTTACGAGTATTTGACGAGATATGCAGATTGGAGGATGAGATTAAGGGTAAACTAATGAGAATAAGGGTATTGATTTTTTTTGTAAAGAGTCCCATCTTTCCTCTTTAAAATCAGCTCAAGAAAAAGTTGCTATCTTTATTTTTGTGGGAGATATAAATTTTTAAAGTTCTGGGAGATATATGTCCCACCAGTCACGAAAGGGTTAAATTACTAGGAGAACATAATTTCCTTGGCATAGGCAGGAAAACTGTCTTATACGTTGACACTCTTCTTTCTGTAAAATTTTACAAAATTTTATATAGTTCTACGAGAGTCCTTCCTCTTTTCATTATCCTTTCTCTCTCTGTCCCCCCCTTCTCTTCAAACTGAATCATCTTCTGCGTCTTTATAAAGAGAATTATAAAGAGAAAGAGGAGCGACAGTTTTAGGCTGTCCCCTTTTCTAAAAAAATTAACTGAAATGTTCACGAAACGTCAGAACAATAAATCCACGAAGGAGGGACGCGAGGCCAATTCCAAAAACTCCGAAAACAAATAGCTGGTCAAAAATAGTCTCGGACAGTTGCGCATTATTCAATTGAGAACCGAGGATTAATATGTCGAGAGCTGAAATGGTAACGGTTGAAATGTTCGCAGGATAGCTCTGACGGATTTAATCGTTGATTGATCGCACAGGGATCTATCCCGAGGCAAATCACGTTAAATGCAGTACAAATAACATTGGTAAAATGATTTCTAAGCCGCTGTTTATTCCCGCCAAGTTGTCATACTGTTATCTCAATTTCTCGTGAATTGCGTTACTTGGTCCTTTTGCCGTGATATCCTTCTTACTCGCTTTCTCAATGCGATTATTCCTAATTATCTCAATTTTCGATGTCTGGCCTTTCTATAATTATGCAATCCTTATCTATTATCGACTTTCTCCCGGGATCGCATAAAAGATAAAATCGCCCGCGTGAAATAGGCTGTGAATCTGGCTCAATGAAGGCGAGTTATCGGATTTTTTAGAGAGATGCATTGCGTACGCGGGATATAACGAATCCGCGACATTTATGTAGTTACGTTTAAACGAATATAATTTCCCTCGTCGCGTTTATTATTAATCCCCATAACGTGCACATTTTAATGAGCCGCTCGTGATTATTTAAGTACCGCGTTCGCGTTGGGCTTCACGTGTTTGCGTGACTGAATGCTGATATTAAATCCAGAACCAATAATTTGCCGAGAAGGAGAGAAAGAGAACGCACGGAACGAAATGTTTGCACCGATTAAATATGTCTGCTCGATCGGAATTATGATACGATATGAGATTATTTTAGGAAGTATTTATTACACGGCATACCGCATACATCATTTGTTATTTGATAATCGTTAATTGATTAATCATTAATTAATGGCTCGAGTAATTGATATCGGTATAAACAAAATTATTCAACAAATGGTATATCATAATATCGCCCTCCTATGCGGCATACTTTATTAAATAAAGCAAATGATAGGATGAACATATATATATATATATATATATATATATAATCAGATCTAAATATTTTACGAATGCATGAAAACACACGTGTGTGTGGTAACAATGTAAAATCCACGTTTAGTTTCGGAATCTTACTTTTCAATCTATGATCGCGACCAAAGACGAGGCGCTACGCTACGTTCCATCCGCGTTTCCTTCACCCGATCGACGAATGAAGAACAGTGACACTCACCTTCCGTCCTGAGCCGAGAACTTGCCGGCCGTGCTCTTGTCGTCCTCGATCTCGCCGGTGTCGTCCCAGTGATTCGGACTGCCGACACCACCCAGCCATCCTTCGACGGTAGTCCTGGCCGCGGCCAGGGCGATGTTCCTGGCCGCCTCGTCCCTGGCGCAGAGCGGCGCCAGGAATCTACTGACGAGCTCGACCTCGTCGCCCTTAGTAGAGGTGCCGCTACCCGACGAACTGTTCGGCTCTCGGTACATATCCTTTTTCCGTATCCCTGCGCACGTTGTTTTCCTTCGCTCCGCCCGATCCTTTCCGGAATACGTTCGCCCGTCCTCGAGGCAATCGCACGGATAGCGGTAGTGTATCGAGGCGCTCGCGCTCGGCTCGATTCCCAGGATAAACAGCGCGACGGACCGACGGGATGTTCCGTATTTTTCTTCCCGCCGAATCGCCTTTTCTCTCCTTCGTAGCCCGATATCTTAGCTTTTTCGCGAGCTCGTCGCGCAATCCTCCTCCCTGGCCGAAACGCCGCGACAGACCTCCGTCCGCCGGTGCTGTAAGATATCAAATAGCTCTTGCCGTCATCGGAATTTTTAATATCGATCTCGTGTAGATCGCCTCCACCATTGTGTGCTGCCTCGCGCGGACAACATCACTGTATCTTTCTCTCGGACTCGTTAACGTTCTCCCTCAAGTTCTCGCTCAATCCACTCGCAACCTTTCTCTCTCACTCTTTCATTCTCTCTCCCCTCCCCACCCTCTCTCTTTCTCTCTCTTTCTCACCTCTTTACTCAACTCAACCTCGCTCAAATTTGCACAAAATCTCCATCCTCTCTTTCTGATCTTTCGCCTCGGACGATCGTCCGCGCTTCCCCGATTAAACGATACTCGCGCGCGTTCTCGTTTTCCAAAGTCTTCTTCCCTTCAGCCGGTAAAGAAAGAGGCCGGAGAGAGAGAGAGAGAGAGAGAGAGAGAGAGAGAGAAAGAAAGAGAGAGAAAAAGAAAGAAAAAAAGAGGCGCACAAGAGTTAGATCGCGCGCGGTACTATCCTCATGTAATTACGCTCGTTTCGTATCGTTTCGCCGTGAGAATCGGCCGTAAAACTCGTTTCAGGAGAATTTTACCGAGCGCTGCGGTGCACCTCGGGATACGTTTCGGGGCGATAGAAAGTAGGCAGACGTCAGCCGCCGCAACTGCCGCGTCGAGGCGATCTATCGAGGTTCGAGTTGGAGGGCGGGAATAGGTAGGAGGCAATCGGACGATTCTGACTAACCTTGCACGGAGGAAACGATCGACCGGGAACGTTTTAACTCGATCGACTCCGATCGATCGTAAAATGCGCCTCTCCTTTTCTTCTCTCTTCTTTTTCTTTCCGTCTCTTATCTTCCTCTCGTGCTTGTCTCGTATTTTTCTCTCTCTCCTCCTCTCTCTCTCTCTCTCTCTCTCTCTGTCGCTGTTGCAATTTTGCACACGGTTCGTCTCTTCCTCACTGGTGTTAACGCTGCCACGCAATCATGTGTATCACATTTTTTTCTTCTTTTACATTGTTACTGCACACGCACTCTTGGCCGATTCTTGCTCTGCTAGCACACTCGCGTTTTTCCGCGTTTGCTTTAGTCCATGGAGTACCTGAAATCAGAAAGAAGAAATAGCGATGATTCCACCGACTGTAGATCGTACATCGCAAAGAAAATGTCATATGTAGAATATCCTAGAAGCTGGCCGTCGCCAGTTATGCTTATATCGATTATTAGAATCGGAAACTTGCAAAGTGTGATGAACTCTCCGCGATACCGTCGTCACGGGAAAATCGACTCAAAATTGAACGAGGGAAAACGCTGAGCGTCCACTTTCCGGAACAATTCAGGAACACCACATGGACTTGGACGCGGAATAAGAAAGTTTCGTCTATATAGACGAAATCATTTTCCTCCGGCGAATTCTTTCCTGTGCAAAATGAATGTAGGGAAAACTCGAAAAGTACCACCATCGGGGCGAAACGATCAGCATCGATCAGGGAAGAAGGAAATGAAACGCCCGGCAAAAAGACACAGATTATGACGCGGGAAACGCGCGAACATTTCGCTGAGTGATTTCATCCTGACCGTATTGAACTTCAATTTACCGCCGTCTGACGTGCTTCGATCGATCCTTACGCTCGCTCGATGGATGTAATATGTTAGCAACGTAAGCCCCCCCTAATACGGGAACACTTTTCAACGGTACGTAATAACCGACGGATTATCGCTCGGCAACGAACATTATGCAATGGCAATCAAGAGCTATAATACTTGAACCTTGAGGGAGTCAGTATTTCGCGGTACAATTGGCTTTCGCAATTGAATCGTTCGATTCTACGAGTCATAAAGGATTAATGGAGTCATAGTGAATTAATTCCGACATCGCGCTTTTAACTTACAAATTACGCGATTATGAGAAAAATGGCGAAGCAGTTCACTTGTAATCACTTGCGATCGTGTGCTGTATAATACGTTTATATATATGTGTATATATATATATATATATACATATAATAATAAACATCGCGCGTTAGAATTGCGAAAAGGAAACATGCATTCACGTTAGCCTCGCGAAGGTACATATTCGCGCTTTGCCGACGTTGCTGACTAACGTCGGATGATTCAGAGCGATCAGCTGAGTTGGTTTGAGTGAGTAACAGCATACCAGGTGACCTAATATCAACGAGCAAGATGTAGACAATAGCGCGCTCTGACGAATTTCAAAGCAACGCGGGCGATTCATTTCGATGCGAGTTAACAATAGGAAGTAATTAATTATCATTTTATCGAGAATGCGCAATTAATCAATATCATGGTATGGGTGGTCTACGACTTGATTGATCGATTGTCGCGAGAAGAAGCCTGGGTCAAGGTTGCGAGGTCAGGAAGTAAGAAAGATCGTGTCAGGGTAGCAATTTATCGAGGGAGGCGGCGAGCGAATAAAACGTCAAAGGGTATAAAGGAAGATGCACTTTCACGAAAAATAAATCGATACAATGACGACGACGACGACGACGACGACGACGACGACGACGACGACGACGACGACGATGACGACGACGACGACGACGACGACGACGACGACGACGACGACGACGACGACGACGACGACGACAACGACATGCGATTTAAATTAACGATGTGTATGTTCGAGAAGAAAGAAAGAAATCCGATTCAAAGAGTAAATCTCACGACACGCTCGCGCTATTGCGCAAACGCATTCACGCTCGTATTTCATACGAGCATTTTCTTGTTACGTAAGTTGTGGAAAAGGCCTCGGAGAAGTTGTAAGTTGTAACGTTCGACGTTCCGCCGCCTCGCTCGCTGCCGAGGGAAATGTTTCCAGTGTTATTTCTGTCCTTCTGAGGCGCTTGAAATTCACTCCTGCTACTTCTCGATTCGAATATTAAGCCGGTAATTGACTCGACGACTTCATTATCGAGTCAATACAAGCAAGTCAACGACGCGTTGCGTTGCGGTTATCATCGCTGATAATACGTCGATTTGTCTTAACGGGGACTGTGAAAACTTTGCCATCTAGAACGTGCCGTTGCACGCGTGACTTCTGTAAACTTATTATTATATGATTAATGGGCTTTCCCGGTAACACTTAGGTCAAAGTATAACCTTACACGTAACACTTTGCATTCAGACTTTGATATTACCGCTTTGGTATCTTTACCACAACCAATAGCGCCTGATTATACTCCTTGCCATAATGTCGGGCGAATCATGAGACTTTCATGAGAAAATAAAAGAAAATATGTCACAAAATTACGTTTGCAACTACAAGTGTGGTGATAAAACTTTGCTCGATAAACGCGAACTATCGTAATTTATAAAGACTAAGTAAGAATATTAATTTATTAAACCAGACTACTTACTCGTGCATTTTCTATATCCATCGTGAATAAATTTGTACATTGTTATTCGAGAAAAAGCTTATATTAAGATAAGCTTTTGGAAAAACCAAAATCCATATTTCATTATCATGAATATTTGGTGGAAAGGAAGATTGAAGAGATCATTTGATAATTTACTATTGAGTCTCAAAGACAGTTTCATGTGTACTATTTTACCCACTTCAATGCGTAAAAACCATCCGTCTAAAGTTGCATGTTTTTGCGCACTCAGCAAAAAACTATAAGTATATTTATGTACACCACCACCGTTTATCATCGAACAATCTGATCGACACCTGATCGCGTCGCTTCTGTATAATCAAGGAAATGATCGGAGATCATCCGTTACTCAGTACCGGCACTCATAATCACAAAGTTGTAAGTCTGCAGCGCAAAAAGCAAGCTGAGAAAACATGGAATAATGTTCCTCGCGAAAGCGGTTTTCTTTTTTTTTTCAAAAATAAGCAAAAAAGACAAATGATAATGGCTTTCCGTTTAAATATCACGAATGCTGGGAAAAACTTATCAAACCAGTTTATATAACTACAGTTTATAATTAAGACAATAATACCGCATTGAATTACTTTTTGTTACATCTGTACGAAGAAGATAATTCCTAATTATTGGACTTGTCGCTCGTTGTGGATTTATCCGAGCAACCGTATGCAGTCTATTCGTGCAAATTAACAGGAATATATCAAACGGATAGACAAGCGTTTAGAGCGACGTCACTGGTAACCACACAAGTATGAGATCACCGGGAAACTTGAATGAAGTGCAACGTTTTGCACCTAGGTGGAAAATTCTCACCTTAATCCTGACGACAGTTCCAGATATTCTTCCGAAATTATCAAAATTGCTTACGCAAGATTAACGACAAGCATCCGTCGGCGAACGGTAACTTTCCACTTCGAAAGACACACTCCGGCCTGAAATTGCTAAAGGAACTCGTTAGATGAAAGATGGCTCGCGCCAGATCTGGGACGAGTTGTATATTTATGTCGTTGCACGTTGCGCGCGCGCGTCTATCGAATTCGCCCTGAAATAATCCTAAATTTCTCTCGACTCTGGTGCACTGGTCCACTGGATCTCTTATCTCGCTGTGTGTCTTCCCCTTTCAGTTTTCTCTACCTCCTTGGCTCGGCGTTCGGTTCCCCGCGCGCGGGCGCGCGCGCGATCTCCGTGACGATCTAAATATTTATAACGCCCGAAGCCTAACCCTTCCGCCCCGTGCGGATATGAATTATTAATGCCGCGACCATGCTACCGCATGCTCGCGCGCGTCGCTGTGCATTCCCGATACCGTATACTTTGTCTTGGAGATATAAGGATGGTCAGAGCACGTCGCGAACGTGCGAGGCGATAAAGCGATCGCGCGCGCTCCGGCCGCGGCTTCGCCTCGCCACACCGTGGCGAGGCTCGACTCTCGCTTAAGCGAATTAAACGGAACGAAACAGAAGCGCGGATTAACGCTGCCCGCGAAGTATGTATATATATATATATATATACCGTCGTAATTTCGCGCGCGAAATTTATTTCGCAGGCGCGTGTCGCGCGAGGGCCGTTTGCGTCGCCCAAGAGAGAAGGAGAGCGTCACGGCGCTCGCACACGATCGATCGCCGTGATCCACACACGGCCGCAAGATCGTTTCTCTTCCACTTTTCTCCTCTCCCCTCTTCCCCTCGCCTCTCCGCTCCTCCTCGCGGTAATGACTTTTTATTTACGAGCCTGACGCCGTGGATGAGATTAACTCGACAAAAATATACGAGCGGCGGTAAATTCGCGCGTTTCTTCTTCATCCGGAATTGGCGACGAGCGTTCTACTGGATATTCTGCGTTCCGTCTCTCACCGATTTTCTTCCGCCAATCCGCGGTATACATTTTTCGACCCGCGAAGTCGAGAGAAATCCATTACTTTTCTTTTTCACCGTAGTTCTTCCCCCCTACTCCCCCCCCCCTTTCCCATCACTGTCTTTCTCTTTTTGCTCTGGTTTTCTTGCTGATATTTACTAGCGGCTTTTTCGTCTTTCGTCGTAGCTTTGTATTGTTGAAAGAACGCGCGTCGGTTTATAACACGGTCTCCCGAAATCGCAAGTCCGCCACTGCATACGCGCGAGCCGCGCGCGTCGTTACTTCGTGCGTCCTTCAATGGAGGAAATGCAAATTCAGCATCGACGACTCAATAAATAACAATTCGCGCTAGAACGAAAACGGCACCATCAGGATTATTTTCGCGAGTCGAACTAGCACACTGTCATGGCACCTGGCACCAGCGTGTACAGCACTAAGAACGCGAAGGAGGCAGTGCCTGATACGATAGCGTGTCATCTGCGATTCATGCGAGAGAACATATATTATCTGCTTTTTTATTACCGTTGCACTGTCGAGATAATAGATCTTTAAGTAACGGTGCCTGAACACCCTTTACAGCGAACATCGCTCCGCCAAGTACCTCATCCTCGCTTAACCCTCATTTTGAGTAATTTTTTCACGCTTCGGGTCGCCGCTTCGCGCGCGTGCATGACTTGGCAATGATTTCTCGTATATTCTCGTGTATTCTCCTGCATACATCGTGACTTTTTGTTCTAAATTATACTTTCCAGAGCTTGTTAGTTACTAACTTACGTTATAGATATATTGTTAATATCTCTGTACAATCGTCAACGCGAGCTATTTTCCTCTGCCTCTTTCTTTCATTTCGGAAGAT